TACAAAAGGCAAAATTGTGTTTTTCACAGAGATCAGTCCACTGGAATCACTGACACTGGACAGCTGTTAAGAACAAGAGTCCTGAGATAGTAAGGAATCCAGGCATCCTTAGACGGTCTTCTGTTGTCCCTTCTTCCCAATCAGAGACTTATGGATGTGCGGGATGACACCTAGGAGAGCGACAAGGGTTAATTCTACTGTTTAAACATTCTTAAAACACTAAAAATCAAAGCAGGTAACTCTACAAACTGGAAGGTCTTTAAAAACCATGAGGTCCAAATAGAGAAAAACTGAGTGATGTAAACTAAACCATGATTTTTCAAAATATACTTAAATATCCTCCTTCTAGAAGCAATGAAAGTATAATTTTCTTAGTGGAGATGCAAGGAGTTTCAGTGATAACATACCACCACCAGCAATTGTAGCCTTGATCAGAGAGTCCAGTTCTTCATCTCCACGAATAGCGAGCTGCAAGTGACGTGGGGTGATGCGCTTTACCTTTAAATCTTTTGATGCATTTCCTGCCAACTCTAGTACCTAAAAGGCAAAATTCTGATCAATCTCTCAACTTCCCTTCAGTCGAAATCCATGAAGCTGGCCAAACCTCAGCGGTGTTTTTAATCTACCAACTGTCGTCATCCCCGCCCCACTACCTGAATGACAAAACTATGCAAATTATGCAAAGAATTGAAGGGGCACGCAATTGCTTTTGCAAGAGCAGCAAACTCCGGCTCAGCAGGATCCTTGGCTGAACACTAGCTCCCTCTAGTGCTCGCTCGGCCTCCGCGCCGCGCTGAAGGCCTGGGAGTTTTCTTGCATCACTTTCCTCCTTCCCTCTCGCCACTTTCCCCCCGCCCCCCAAACCTTTTCCAGCTCACAGGCGTACACTCCCGTTTACCTCTGCGGTGAGGTACTCCAGGATGGCTGCGCTGTACACAGCGGCGGTCGCGCCCACACGTCCGTGGCTGGTTGTCCTAGATTTCAGGTGTCGGTGAATACGGCCCACAGGGAACTTGATTTTTTATGCACACAAACAAAAATGCACAAAGATCAAAGACGGAAAGATGATGTGCGCGCCAAAGCCAAGGACGGTGGTGCACCATTGCGCCCTGGCAGTAACACGCGCGATCGACGCCCCCCCACACACGCCCCAATATTCAGTCTCTGCAAGCCAAGTCGCGACACATCACCCACGCAAAGATGGAACACCCATGCAAGGCGCCGACAAACAAGCAAAGGGGTGCAGAGATAAAGGCCGGGTCACCCCGACAGCGGCTGCGGCAGCGGCTACCTACCTGCAAGCCGGCTCGCTGCGAGCGGGAAACCGCCTTTGTCTTGGCCTTTCCGGAGTCTTTTCCAGCCTTACCGCCAGCCATCTCGGACCGTGATGAAGATCGGACAAGCGAGAAAGAGTCGAGGCCAGGTGGACGCGCAGCGAGATCCCAGCGCCCACTCCTCCGTCGGACCGCGATTCAAACTGCGCCGTCTCCCGCCTTCCTCGCGCCCTTTATACCGCAGAATGTTCCCTCATCCGGGAACTCGGCTGGCTCGGCCCACCAATGGTTGCCGCCCGCCTTCGGGACGCGTCCTTGAGGTTCCAGCCAATGGGAGAGGACGGAGCGGGGCGGGGGGGGCGGGCGCTCGCGAGCTCGAGCGGTGATTGGCGCGTGCGGGGTAGCGGGGGACGAGTGGGGGAGGCGGCGGGACGGACCGGGGAGAAGAAGGGCGCCGCGGCGGGAGGGCAGAAACAGAGCGCTGCGCCACCGCCACCGAGCGAGCGGACGGAGACGTCACGTGCCCGGAGGGAGGAGCCGAGCGTCTGGGGAGGGGCGCGCTCACGTCCTCCCCACCGCAGCCCCCCCCCACCCGATTCCCCGCGGGGTTCGGGCGACCACGTGAGCTCTCCTCCCGGTCTAGCCTGGCCCCTGGCTGACAGCCTGGGCCTCGCAGCTCGCCTCCGGCCGGGCCATTCCTCTCCTTTCCGCAGATCTCAGGTCCTCTCCAGTTCCCCCTTTGTGACAGGTGGCTCAGGTCGGCCTCTGCTCGGTGAACCACTTCCCTGATAGACTGACTCTTACCCCCCACTTCTGTCCACCTGTTTGGACATCCTGTCTCCTAATAGCAGCGGGGCCAACTTACCTTGATGATAACAAATAATTTTGTCCGCACACAGAAAGCTTAGGATGGAGCGTTATTATAATGAAATCGTCAGCCATAATTTTGCGGAGACTCCACATCAATGGGATGCGCCTCATAGACTAGTATCGAAAGTTGATTTATTGAAACATCAAAGCTATTATGTGTCAGCTTTCCTACACTAAACATTTTGCCACAAGAAAAATGTTGGGTAAATGTCAGTGGGGTAACCGTAACATGATTCACAAGCAGTTACAGATGGTCCACGTAATCAAGTACAAATGCTGGGTTTAAAAGAAGTGGGACTGAGCCGGCGGTGCTGGCACACGCCATTAATCTCATAACTCGGAAACAGAGACCAGAGTTCTCTGGTGTGAGTTCGAGACCAGACTGGTCTACAGAACGAGTACCGGGACAGACTCCAAAGCTACAAACCCAGTCTCGAAAAACAAATAAACAAACAAAAAAACAGAACTTTTTTTGTTCTTTTTTTGTTTGGGACTTTAAGCACAGTACTGTCCTGATGCCAACCACTTAGACATGCAGTTAGCAGTTTGACAAAACCTGTGTCATCAGGAGACCATAATGATCTAAAGCGTTCATATTTATAGTACTTAATATGTAACACTTTTAAATAAAAAATTTTTGTGTGGCCATGTGGGTGGGTGCAGGTGCACACGCCATAGGATTTCTTTGGAAATCAGATGACAGCTTGTGGAGTGGGTTCTCTCCACCTGAGCATGGGCTGCAGGGATGGAACGCAGGTAGTCAGGCTGGTACAGGGAGCATTTTTACCCTTTGCGTCATACCACCAGTTCAACAGCGTATTACACTTTCTATGTCATGGTATAGCAATGTGAAAGAATTTTGAAACATAAACTGTACATAATATTGGGCTTCAGTTTTTATGAAATTTGGGACCCTCTCTGGTGCCAGATTAATGCTAGAAGAGAGGATCCCAAAAATTTTGATGCCAAGGCTTATTGGAACTAAAGAATTATAATGATGCCATTATACGATGCAAAAAAAAAGACACAAAAACAAAAATACCTTTAAATCTCCTGCAACCCCAGCACTTAGTAGGCTCACCAGGAGATTCACAAACAGAAGACCAGTTTGAACTACATACACACAGTCTGTTTCAGAAAGGTAAAGGGGTGTGGTGGCCCACATCCATAATTCCAGCAGTGGGGAGGCAGAGGGCGGCTGATCCTTGTGAATCCCAGGACAGCGTGGTCTACACAGTGAGTTCCGGGCCACGTAGAGTAATGGAGTGAGACCCTGTCTAAAAAACAAAACAAGAAACCACAACCAAATACCTCAAAGTAGTTTCGTTGGTAGAGCAATAACAGCCTAGCAATTTGCAAAGTCAGGAGCTGACAGCCCAGCGCTGAGAGAGAGAGAATTATTGAGCCAAACCCAATATGACACTGAACGTTGACTTCTGATGAGATTTCTTGCTGTTTACCTCACAGCCAGCTTCATTCCTTTCCTCAGATAATTCTGTGCAAGTTTTTTGCTATAAAATCCAGCTAAGAATGTACTGTTTCTCCACTGGAGCATGGTAAACAAAATTAGCTCATAATCAAGTACACATGAATTCTGCAAGGCCTCCTCACTGTATCACCCTAGTTCTCACCCCCCCCCTTTTGTTTTTATTTGTTTTTTTTTTTTTCAAGACAGGGTTTCTCTGTGTAACCATCTGGCTGTCCTGGAACTTGCTCTATGGACTAGGCTGGCATAGAAATTGCAGAAATCAGCCTGGCTCTGCCTCAGGAGTGCTGGGCTTAAAGGTGTGTGCCACCATACCTTGTTGGGGACTATTATTTTCAGGTGTGTGACTTTTGTTTATGCTGCATTTGTTTAACTCCGTGAGGCTGCTACTGTGCCTGTCTAAAACACCTGATAGCCCTAATAAAGAGATGAACGGCCGATAGTGAGGCAGAAGAAAGGATAGGCAGGGCTGGCAGTCAGAGAAGTATAAACAGAACTCTGGGAGGAGAGAACAAGGAGAGGAGGACATCAGGGGCAGCCACCCAGGCAGCCACTGAGTAAGAAGGAAAGAAAGATATACAGAAATGGAGAAAGATAAATGTCCAGAGGCAAAGTTAGTCGGTATAATTTAAGAAAAGCTGGCAAGAAACAAGCCAAGCAAAGGCCGGACATTCATAAAAATAAACCTCCATGTGGGATTTATTTGGGAGCTGAGTGTTGGACCCCTCAAAAAGCCAAAAGAGTCAAATATCCACATTAACACCTGGCTTTTTGTTGTTGTTGTTTAAAAATTCAAAAAAAAACCCTCTATCTTAATTCTGTAGTCTAGGGTAGCCTGGGACTTTCTATAAAGACCAGTCTTTCAAACTTTGTGATCCCCCTGCCTTTGCCTTCTGATGTGGGATTCCCCTCTGTATGTTGTGAATACCATTAGTAAATAAAGAAAACTGGCTTGATAGGCCTGATAGGGAAGAACAGAGCTAGGCAGGGAAAACTAAACTGAATGCTGGGAGAAGGAAGGCAGAGTCAAGAGAAAAGCCATGTAGCCCAGCCAAAGACAGACACTGGACCCTTGCTGGTAGGCCACCACCTTGGGCTGAGACACAAATTAATGGAGATGAGTTAAATTAAGATGTAAAAGCTAGCCAATAAGAAGTTAGACCTAATAGGCCAAGCAGTGATTTAATTAATACAATTTCTGTGTGATTATTTTGGTTCTGGGTGGCCGGGACGAACAAACAACCTCCTTATAGCAAATTGGCACCTTACATGGTTAACTAAAATCCACACAAAACCTTCCTTTTTATTTAAACAGAAAAGGGGAGGTGATATGGGATGCCCCTCTGTATGCTGTGAATATCATTGATTAATAAAGGAACTGCTTTCAGCCTATGGCAGAGCAATAGGGGAGCAGAGCTAGGTGGGGAAAACTGAACTGAATGCTCCAAGAAAGGAGGTGGAGTCAGAATGAGAAGCCATGTAGCCAGACAGAACTTTGGCCAATAAGCCACAACCACATGGTGATACACAGATTAATAGAAATGAGTTGAACTGATATGTAAGAGCTAGCCAATAAGAAGCTAGAGCTAACGGGCCAAATTAATGATTTAATTAATGCAGTTTCTGTGTGATTATTTTGGTTCTGGGCAGCCGGGAACTAACTAGCAGCCTTATCATAACAGCCTTCTATGTTGAGCTTATATTAAAGGTTATTAACTTTTTGAAAACTAAAGTTTCACAGTGCTTTCACATAGCTGTTTAAAGATTAAGGAAAAGGGTACACAAAGTCCATGGTAGCCTGTGCTTGACTGGCACACAGTAAATGCTTCGTAAACAAGGATAACATATATGACATACAAGGATAACAAGGAAGGTGTGGTGGTTAGAAAGAGAATTTTCCCCATAGGCTTATATATCTGAATACTTGGTCCCTAGTTAGTGAAACTGGAAAGGATAAGGAAGTATGGCTTTGTTGGAAGAGGTGTGTACTTGGGATGAGCTGGGTTTTGGTTTTTTTTTTTTTTCCAATTTATTATGTATACAGTATTCTGTCTGCATGTATCCCTGTAGGCCAGAAGAGGGCACCAGATCTCATTACAGATGGTTGTGAGCCACCATGTGGTTGCTGGGAATTGAACTCAGGACCTCTGGAAGAGCAGCCAGTGCTCTTTACCACTGAGGCATCTCTCTAGCCCAGATGAACTTTGAAGTTCATATAACTATGCCAGCCATATTCTCTCTCTGCCTGTGTGCCTGCAGATCAGACTCTAATAGCCCCATGCCTGTCTGCCTGCAGTCACGATGGTCATGGACTAAGTCTCTGAAACTGTAAACAAGCCCCCAATTGAATACTTTCTTTGGTAGGAGTTGCTTTGGTCATGGTGTCTCTTCACACAGCAATAGGAAAATAAAACAGAAGCATAAACAAAGTAATTTATATTTCTAAACTGTTTGTCCTGACTCGTATTTTGCTTCTTTTGATGTAGAAACAGCAAGCTTAAAGGCCACCCAAAGAGTAGTTGAATGAGAGAAATGTTGCTCATAGTCTTGAGCATTCAAACACTTGTTCCCAAGTTTGGGGAGATTTGGGTGATGCAGCCTGGCCAGAGAGCTTCACCCAAGTTCCATCTAGTTCACAATGCTTACAACTAAAGATGTGAGTTCTCAGCTACCGTTTCTTCCTGCCATCCCTGCCACTTGCTTCTATGCTTTTCTATGTTGATAGAGACTTGCCCATTGGAACTGTAAGTCAAATTAACCCCTTTATGTAAGTTGCCATGGTCATGGTGGCAAGGAGAGAAATGTTCCTGATACAAAAGTTGGTACTGAGAATGGGGTGTTGCTATAAGAACGGATCCATATCTTTTGGAGGCGTGTAGAAGTCTTTGGGTCTTTGAGCTATAAATGTGGCCGTATGGCATAAGTAGAGCCTAACAGACCAGCGTATTAGGAAG